TCCCCAGTGTGGATCCTCTGGTGTTTCCGGAGGCTGGAGCCCTGGCTGAAGCTCTTCCCACATTCCCCACACCGATAGGACTTTTCACCAGTGTGGATCCTCTGGTGCTGGATGAGGTGGGAGCTGTACCTGAAGCCCTTCCCACATTCCCCACACTCGTAGGGCTTTTCCCCAGAGTGGATCCTCTGGTGCTGGATGAGGTGGGATCTCTTTCTGAAGCCCTTCCCACATTCCAAGCACTTGTGGGGCTTCTCCCCCAGCTCTGAGCTCCGGCTGGATCTCTGGCCGTGTTCCTGGCACTGGGGGGATCTTTCCTCGTCGCAGCTCCCTGGACTGGGTTTCCAGCCCCTCCTCATGCAGGATCTCTGGGGCTTTTTCTCCTCCTCTGCCATCTGGACACAGTTTGGGAATGAAAATTCCTGGTTAGGAGGAAAAGGAGAGGAGAGCGTCTTGGGCTGGGGGTTCCTCCATGCCCAAGTTCATCTCAGAAAGTCACTGGGCATCTTGTGTCTGTAACAAAGCAAAGCACCAAGATTCAGCCCAAACATCAAAACAATGATGACAAACTAGCCAAACACCAAATTCAGGCAAAACCCCCTCCAGAATACAAAGATTCAGCCCCTGCAAAAAAACAAAGCATCATTATTTAGCCAAAAAAAGTTCAGAAACACCAAGATTCAGTCCCATCAAAATCGTGGATCCCCTCCCCAGTCACCTCCAGGGCAACACTCCTGGGACTGCACACACAGGGAGAGTGGAACGTTGTCCTGCTTCCTCTTCCTTCTCTTCCACCTCCTCCTGTGGCCCTACTCTTCCTCCCACTCCTCTTCCTCCTACTATTTCTCCTCCTCCTGCACCTGCTCCTCCCACGTGAATCCTTTGACCATTTTGTTCTTCAACCCTGCTTCTCCTTCCCTTCTCCTCCTGCCCCCAGGCCCAGCACCCACTGCCGCCTCCCTCTTCCCCCCCAGTCCCACAGCATCCCACCGCAGGGGCACGGATGCAGCTGGGCCAGCTCGGCCTGGGGCAGCGCTGGGCTCTCGGCCGCTTCCGCCCGCACTCGCTCCCCACTGCAGCCGCTCCCGCCACCACAGCGCGGGGGGGCCCGGCCTTGGCGCTCCCCCCTCCCACCTCCCCAAATTCCCCTCCAGGGGGGCGCCAAGGCCCGGGGGGGAGGGGCGCAGCTGGGCTCCAGCTGGGGAACGCTGGCAGCTGCGGCTCTGCCTGGACACTGATGAGTCATCAGCGCCGCGCGCTCTGATTGGCTCAGCCCTGCCTGAGCCCTGCGCCTGCACCAAGGGGGGACACCCTGCTCCAGGGGGGATGGCCCCAAAACGGGGCAACCCCAGCAAACTGATCCCCTCAACCTCATTGCACATAGGGCCAGGGACGTGGACATAAGGAAGTGACAGGAGGAGCCATCAGCTGCACAAAATGTTATGAATTGATGACACAGACTGCTGTTCAGCCAAGGTCCTGCTAAATTCATCAACTTCCAGAAGAACAACAAAGACTTAACACAGCCATCAATATCCTTAGCTATACAAAAGTGGGGTACATATTAAGGGGGTATGTGGGAGGTGCATTGGGAAGTCTGTGCCTCTCCAGGACTTCAGCCAATGGGGAAAGGGAGAGGGAGATGTGACCAAGAAAATTAGGATGAAAAGGAGGCTGTGTCTGCCAACAATTGGTGAAATCTCATTAGAAATGTCCCATGGCCTCTCCCTTTTTTTCTGAATGAAATTACTGTTACAGGACTCCTCTGCCTTCCTTTTGGACAGAAACCTGTGGGGATGTCAATTTTTCCACACACCTTGGGGCTCCTCCGCAATTCCTTCCACCGTCCGGGCCGGCGGGCAGTGAGTGCAGCTGAAGGGGCCTCACCCAGTTTGGGGGATCGGCTCCCTCGGCTGGCGGCGGCACCGGGCATTGATTGGGTACCCGAGAGTGAGCAGGAGACAGACGAGGGACGGATCAGGGCGGCTCTCAAGAGTCGGCAGGGAGAGAGCACTGAAAATCTCAGCAGTGACTACAGTGGCATCTTCGGGGAGTGAACATGGCAGGGCACCCTGGGAGGGGACAAAAGGGAAAGCCACAATGGGGTCCCAGCCAAAGGGATGAGGATCCCAAAATATCTCTCAAGGGTCCCTTGGGAGCATGTGGAGGTCGTTTGCACATTCTCCCAGAGGGAATTAAGGACATGGACACCCAGGGGGGCAAGAAGG